TAAAAGCTAGACTTTAAATGGTGCCAGCTAACATAAGAACTTCCGATTTACATTAGCAATGTACAGAAATGTCTTTGCAGTTTTAGTTCATAACATTAGCTCTGTGATGTGGTTTTCTGTGAGAAAGTTCAGTTCTTTGTTAATACAGTTCATAACAAGTTCAGAACGTGGTTAATATGGGAGTTCTGAAAATAAATTTCTTAGCATGTTTCAACCATGATGTGTGCAATAATGGAAAGAACAAATGAACAGAGGCCAAAAAGGCAAGATAAGAAAAGAGTTGGGATTTAAAGAAGCTTTGTTAAGAAAATATTCATGCATTTTTGGCCAGGAATAAGATTGTTTATATCTTTCTAGATGATGTTACAGATAACTTCAACAGGAGTAAAGAAAAGGGAATAGATTTATAAACAACATTTTTTTCACTTGAACTAAAACAAACCCTTACATATAATAACAGAGGAAACAAAGAAAACCCCAAACTTAAAAATTTTAGCTGGTTCTAGCCCTGTGGAATTACTGATTCATAAGGTCTGGCAAAGTGCTGCTCTGTAAGATCCACTTTCAGAAGCAGTGGAGAGGCCAGGTTATCGATTTTATCTGTCACCTCTTAGAAGTAAGGAACTCTGCTGCAATTTTGTTAATTTTCAATAGCTGGATGGTACAGAAGTGGTATTTAATAATGATATCTCATCAGGGAAAACACTGTTTAATATCTTTGGATGTTATGGAGATAGTAAGCTCTTCCCTGAGGGTGCACATGCAAGCACTGTCTGTAGGAAAGTGCTACATGCAGAAGTAGAAGCTTCCAACACTGAGTGTATAAGGGCTCAGCTGAGCTGGGGGTTTTGCGTTCTTGGCAGACCTGCTTGGTACCTGAGCTCTTGCCTCTATCTAGTGAGGAAACACAGAGAAAGAAGTTTGAGGTAGGTTTCTTTTCCTCAGAAATATCAGCTAGTGCTTTGTAACAGAATGCTAAACAACTGTTATGTCTCTCCTGGGAACTCTCACTAGATGGTTAGTGAAATTTTATTCTTCAGTTGGACATTAACATTGATGGAGTTACACCTTTTCAGTGCCCAGGATAGCATAAGTAAGTTGGTAGTCTGCTTTCATATGGAATAAAAGCAACCACACAGACTCTTAATTTCCCCTTGATGATGATCAGATTTTAACTAGCAATGAGAAAGCTGATTTTCAGCAGTTGACTCTTCCGTATTAGCTGCATCACAGTTCTGTCTGCCCTTCACATGCACCCATTGTCCTGTACAGCATGTTACGTGCACCGTGGGTGCTGGTTATGAAGTGCCTCAGGAACTTGGGCTGGAAGCCTCCTCAGGAGCTGAAACCTGTGGCAACAGTCTGGTTTTGTCCTGCTTCACCCTCTACATAGGAAACTGTAAGAAAAGTGTTTCTTCTTATTCAATGCTCCTGTTTTCACTGAGTTAGTCTTGTGGTAATATACAAAGTAGATAGAGCAGGCTGGGGAAGCAGGTATGTGGGCAAGGAAGAGCTTTGAAAATCCTGACATTCTGAGTGGGAAAAATAGACTTTTACCTAAAGTGATATTCATTGTGATGACGTTTTGTGTAAGAGTTTTTCCCTTTTGTTCCTGTTAACTTTATATAGGAAAAATCCCAGGAGAGTATCAGTGCCAATGCTGGCAAGTTTGAGAGGCTTTCTCAGACCTCTTATTTCCCAGAAATCTGTGAAATTTCTGGCTGGTCCATCCCTTTGTAGCCTAAGCCTTTCCTAAGAAATCCAGCAATTTTCCACTTGAAAATAGCTATTGGTAAAATCACACACTACTTTCATATAAGATTAAGGGTTTGACAAGGGTAATGGGAACAAAGAAATTCCAAATTAAGTCTGCTCCATATTTAGCCCCCCCTCCCAGCCCCCTGTTACACAATAGTAAGCTTTCCTAATGCAAGTAGGTTGTTGATATACTTCCAAAAAGAATTCCAGTTAACTGAGAGATAGGATTAAGTGGATTAAATAGCCTCCTCATTTTTCAGTGAAAAGAGAAAAAAAAAGTTTGGTTGAATGGGCATGTACAAATGCAAACTCAAATGATTTTGGACTAGATTAGCCTTCCAAATGACCTCAGACTGCCTTACAAAGTAACATGCCCTGTCTTGGCAAGGTTCTGCCTGTTGGGCACACATGCATGCCAACTTGCACGTGCAGGGCAGTGAGTATGTGCACTGTAGCCACAGCCATTTCAGCAGACTATGACCATGGTCTGGGAGGTAGGCTATCAGTTGGGTAGAGCAGTTGAAAGAATATAAACCAGTGTCCTGTGGCAAGTCTGTTTACATTTGGTGTAAAACTGATGTGTCCTACTCAGCCAGACCCGAGCCCTGGGAGAGCCTGAGAGCCTCCAGTCCACCAGCCTGCTCCTACACAAGCATCTTTGATGGCCCTTTCCATTTTGCCACTGTTTTCTGATTACTAGGTGTTACATTTTCTTCCTCAGCACAGACACTTGGCATGGTGTGAAAACCAAAATTCTCCTGCTTTTGAGTCCTCTCTTGGATTTCTTTTATTGAGAATTTTTAAGGCATTGGCTTTGTGCAAACTGTATACAAAGCCTCCCTAACTTACTCTTCCTCATAATGAAAGTTGACTTCTCAACCTTGCTCATCATGTCTTACTTTCATTTTTATGACCCCTGAAGGCAGGAAATAGCAATAAGTTCCACATTAAGGTCTCTCAGCAGCTGATAACTTGATGTGTGGCAGATAATTACTGGAGTCATGCACTGGATCATCATCACTTGGATGTGGTCAGCATGACTCCACAGCAAACCTATCTCCATCTGGTCATTTTGTGGCATCCTTTATAATTCTTTATGTTGTAAATCTTATTGGTCACTTGTTCAAGAGGCAGCAGTAGTGGAGTTTTTTTATGTGTTACTAATTTGTCACCTTCATCCAGAAGACCCATCCTGTTGCTTGAAAGGTAGAGATACTGCCATATATTTTTTATCATAATAAAAAGGGGAGGGGAGGGTGAAGGAAGGGGCAAGATTAATGGTAGCAAACATGAATTCCCAAGAATTCCTAAAAGCCAGGGGATGGAGGGCACATCTATGAGGCTGAAGGCTAATGCATCCCAGATCTCACTTATACATTCAGTCTAACTGGTCTTATGTATGAGCACTGGAGTAATTTTGTATTGTGTGCATGTTTTCCCTTTTAAAGCAGACTTGCTGCTGTCTTTGATTTCTATATGAATTTGGAAAGCATGCACAAATAGTAAAATTTGTTTCACATTTGTTTCAAATTCAAATTAAATCCCTTCACCCCCAACCAAAAATTTGCGAGAGAAAAAAAAAAAAAGGGGAAGTTAGTGACCTTGTCATGACTGGATCTCATCCTGATCAACAGCCAAATCTTTTTAGCATTGCAAGGAAGTAAAAACAAGAAGTAAAACTTTCTCTGATTACCACTGGGATAGCAGTATTCTTCTCTTTCCCCTACCTGCCAGGAAATGCTTCAAAGCAGCCATTAATTCAGGCAGTGTAACTCTTATCTCTTTTTGCTGGCTAGCTTACATCTTTTAATTTACTTAAACACTTGGGCCTGTGTCTCTGCCACCTGATTTTATTCACCTGAGACACACGTCTTTGGAGGGTTATAAATCATTGCTTCCTGTGGAGGAGCAATGAGGCCTGCCTAAGATAAGAGTTATCTCCTTGCCATAGCCCTCTTCTTACTTTTTCTCTATCTCCATTGACTGTGTTGGGTGAATTTGTTTCTAGCCTGGTGTAACAGATTAGATAAGGACTATAAGTACCTAAAATTAGTACCTGCTTTTTTTAACTGTAAGTCAACCAACTAAAGCAAAGGTAAAAGGAGGAGACTGTATAAAAATGAGTTAGCTACTTAGCCATAGTGGGTACTTAAGGGCTTGCCTAACAATTATGTCTTTGAAAAGTCTGCCCTCAAGTAAAGTGATTCTGCACTGTGCACAACCTGTGCAAAAGTCAGCAAACATTTGGAATGTGTTTGAAAGATTAATAACATCATAATTTTCCTCACCCTGTGGGTTTTTTCCTTCTCTTTTTCCCCCCATACACCAGTGTACTAGGGACTCATCTGGTTATGCATTAGATAATTGAGTTGTTATGCCAACAGGCTATGCTGAAAGGTGTTACATCAGTGGTTTCTTTTTCATCCCACTGTGCTTTGATCTCATGCTATAAAGCAGAAGATCTAACAGTGGAAACTTCTGAAGATGATAGATGAACTTCGCTAATCCACTTTTCATAATCTGCACGAAAAATGTCTGTCCTTATCAGTCAGGAAAGATTTAATAGCTGTGGTCTCTAGAAAGTCTCATATTATCAGAATAGCAAACTGTGGAATTACTGCTAGGAAATATTTTACTAGCATGTTTTGAAATGCATGTGCTTTAGAATAGATGAACAGTGGTGCTTCTTTGTTAACCAGGCTTACTTTGTTGAATTTTCTTCCTAAAATGCAAAACTCGGAAGAAAGCACTGTGCAGTGGTGAATATTTGCTGTCCTTATTGGTGTTAATTGCCCTGCTTTAATTTCATATTATGGGAATTCACTGAAACAGTCAATTCAAATATATTAATTCCAAATATTATATGGTCCTGAAATAAATAATTAAAAACTCTTGGCTCACAAGGTGTATTGTAGCGGATGGAACTTCTGCAGCAATAAGCAGTGTGTAGAATACTGTTTGCAGATTTTGGGGCAATAAAATGTGGTATCTTCTAGGAAAGAACACGTGTCTGTGCTTGTCCCTGGATGAAATTCACACTTATATCATCCAGATGAAGTCAGTAAAGTTACTGCAATTGCCCAGGATTTCATCCAGCGCGATCTTGCCCAATGTATGTTTCTTTAGTTGAGCTCCCCACGTCTCTGGAAAACCTGGCTTACAGAAAATTGCCAGCAATGTTTAGGAATATAAAAACTATTTGCCAGGTCTGATTTGCATTTATCTCTTTTTCTTTACAATAGCTTTGGGACAGATCATGCTGTATGTCGATGGCATGAATGGAGTAATAAATCATAATGAAACCATCCAGTGGCTGTACACACTTATTGGGTCGAAGGTAAGACACTCTCCAAAATTCTATTTTATATGATTTTGCTGTTCTTTAAATGCATTTTATTTGTATTGCATATGCATTTAGGGTAGAAACCGACTGCCTTTAGATTCTAAATGCGTACATAACACTCTTCATGGAAACCAGAGCACACTGAGCTGTTATTTCTGTTTGACTGATTTTATACTCTTTTGTGCTTTTGGTACATACTCTGCTTTTAGAAGCAAATATACCTAGGATGCCCTCATTACTGTCTGTGCTGCTATTAGAGTTGACCATGGAACAGATTTTTTAGTCTTTGCAGTTGTCATTCCCAAGACATTCTTTGGAACCATTTTTTGGGGTGGGTTCTTTTTTCACCTTTCTATTTTATGAATGCAAATCCTTTTCTACAGTTTCACCATTCTATACTGGTCAACTTTGTTGAGCACTGAGGGAGGACAATTCAGAGTGACTTCCTCGTTTGAAGGGAACAGAGAAGGATAGGCTTCCTTCTTAGACCAGAACAGAATCAGATAGAATAATTCAGTTGGAAGGGACCCACACCTATGGCGTAGTCCAACTGCCTGACCAGTTTGGGGCTGACCAAAAGTCAAAGCATGTTATCAAGGGCATTGTCCAAATGCCTTTTAAACACTGAGAGGCTTGAGGTATCATTCACCTGTCTAGGAAGCCTGCTGCAGTGTTTGACCAACCTCTCAGTAAAGAAATGCTTCTTAATGTCTTCTAGAAGACAAAGTCTGGTACCTGTCTACCGGAGAATATTTGTTGGTCCCCACCTACAAGGAGGCAAAGGATGAAGATCAGAATATATGCCACTTGAGTTTGTCTTCTCCAGTGCAGTAGTGATTTATATAGTGCACAACCCACTTTGAAGGTCATCTTTGCTCGAAGTAAAAAAGAAAGCAGAATACAAAATCTGCTGCTGCACGATCTTGGAAGGCCATAGGGTAGGTAAAACCACAAATACACCATTCTCCAGTCTGTTGGCTCTGCAGCTTTAGAAAGTTTAAGGCCTGCAGGGACTGCTGCTGCTCTTGTCACGTAGACTTGCTTGGGATAGATCTGTGTGAACCAATAGACAGAACATGGTATGTTAGCTATTGGTAGCAGCTCAAAAATGGCTAAGAAATTTCCAGAAAAGTTTCCTCAAGTGGCTGAGTAGCAGGAAGTTGCTGTTGGAGAGTGTAGTGACATAGATGTGCTGCTGCTCTCCCCCTTTCCCCTGATAGTTTTTGTAACACAAGGATCAAAAAGAGCGTGGTGTCCCAGGGACCTTTTTTTAACCACTAAAGACTTTTTTTCTGCTATATGCAGACTTCGCTGCTGCATCAGATTATCAAGTCAGAGAACAGATGCTGAGATACTGAAAGAACTGATTTATCTCGATTTATCTTCACTTATATTGGTAGAAACATAAAAGTAAGGTAATTACAGATATGTAACAAGCAAGATTATTTTAATTCTCTAATGCACCTAGTGGGAATGGGATGGGAGAGAAGCACAACTGCTTTGCTACCTTGTAGATTAAATTCTGTCTAGATTTTCTTGACCAGAGTACTTCAGCTCTTGGGTCCTTAAGCTCCTTTCTCCCTCCCCCACCACCAGTCAGAATGATTATCTCCATGTCCTGGCTCAGTGCCTGCAGCTGAGGAATGCAGGCAATGTGCTTTGAATAGTTTGGTTTCAGGTAGCATCAAAGTTGCTTTTTCGTTATTCTTCGACTGTCTTGGAAGAGATCTAAGTCCCTGTCTGTATGCCAGAAGTTAACCAAATGTATGGCAGGTTTACTGTCAGAGTGTGGTGGGACAGCTGCTTTATGCACTTAAAGGTGGTTTTGACTTTCTGTGAAAAATGAGCCCCTGGAATTTGCAATGCTTCTATAGTCTAATGTGCAGCCCTGCTATGCTGATACTCTCTCCACAGCAAAAGTGATGGAACATCATGTTAACACTGCTGAACAAAAAATGAATGGTGAAATTGCCAAATAAATCCTGAGACAAATCCCTCTGATAAGATGCAGGAGGAATACAATCATTTTGCTTCCATGACTGTGACACGTGTTTTCTCCCCTTCTCAAAAGTTCTGACAAGGCTTAATATGCTATAATTTGGTACTCAGTTCAAAGATAACTTTGCATGTGTCTGGTAAAACTTTTTTAATCTTAATCTAAAATGACTCTTTTGTTAGTGGGCAGAAGGAGCCTTCTCTGGTATTGTATAGGCACTAGATTAGAAATTTGAAGATAACAGTACTCTTCTTCTGCCATGTTATTTACAGAGAAGAGCATTATAAGCACATCCCAGTGGGCCACTGCCGGTTCCTTGCAAGACACATCCAACCATGTGTGACCACACTGGTGTTTGCCACTGGCTTTACACAGTCTGGCTGTGGACTGTTTTTCAATCATCAATGGTTAATGCATCCCTGGAAGAAAACATTTACAGCATAATCCCAATTTATATGCACATCACTGCTATTTCATCATTAGTTATTTAGGCAGTAATTCATCAGTCTTTCCTTGTTTTACAAAACATTCAAGTATGTACTTAGTTATAGGTGTATGATTTCATGCTGTTGGCTTCCACTGAACTTTAGTATATAACTGAGGTCAGCAGTGTACTGCTGTAGGAGAGCAGAGGAGGGCTATAGCAGGGCCAAGACGCTGACAATCTTATATAAGCTACAAGTTACATAAATAGGAAATATTTGCATCGAGTTTTCTTTTAGCATTCATTGGGAGCATGGGGCATTCTTTGGAAGCATGAGGCATTCATTCAAGATAGTTTGCTTTTTAAAAGATAAATCTAGGACTCAATGAATGTTAGTTAACAGTGCTTTCAGAATTGCTCTTAATGTTTGCTCTTTTTTACTATCTGAAGTGAGTAATCTAACCTGTCCAGGATGTTGCTTTAACTGACATGTTTCAACCTCACAACATCTGGGAAATGATATTTCACCACTTTCTTGGTGTTTCTGCCAGCTGTGTTGCTGCTGCTGAAGCCGAAATTAAGTTTGTGTGTTGTATTGCAAGTTGTATTTAATCTGGTTGTAAAGGGACCTGAGGCATTTGTTTACACTGGCAGCTGGCACCCCATAACCCTGTGGAGGTCTATGGTGGATCACTTGCAGGTAGAGTCTTGATTTGATAATGACGGCAAGGGCTGTTGGAAAATTTATCTTAATCAAAGCAAGGGACGGCAGGTTAAAGACATACATGCACTAAGCCATGTTAAGTCCTTATAATGTATTTTTCATCTGTTAGCATCTATGAGGTACTATATATATACTATATATATGTATATATATATATGCTTTCATATGTGTTGGTATTCCCCCCCTGCCCTTGTAATAGAAAGCATACAGCTCTGTATCAGTGCCGTATCCTCTCCAGGAATAACTACCGAGTATTTGCAAAAAGTGCGTTTCTAAACCAAAGATCTTGGAAAAATCCCAGGTATTTTTATCATCTACTAGGGAAGCAAATGTTCATTTGCATCACAAACCCACAGGCTTTTGCCATTCTGCCTCAATCTTCAATGGCACGTCTAAGGCATTAAGTAGTCCAAAACCTGAGTGTGGTTTCACCTTTCCCTCCATTTCTGAATGCTACTGATAATGATTATTTTTTCCTATTTGATGATCCAGGCTGTTCTAATTTCCCCCAGGGGAGCTAAAGCCCCTTTTTGGCATTGTATTCAGTGGAAAGTAATCCATTTTCAAAGTGATGCTCGGTAACCTCAGAAGACAGGGTGGAATGCTGGGCCCAGGCTGATGCAGCAGGGTTGATTAAAGATTCCTATCTCACATATTGTTTTAATTTTTTTTCTCTCCTACTTTACTTCTGTCTGGGTCCTAGATTGTGAGGTTAAATACAAACTTGAAGTAGCAAGTTGTTCCTTTAGCCTCATGTGACTCTTTTTCTTCCTTTGCTATTGAAGTAATGACTCTTTGAATGCTTTAAATTGTAATTCAATCAAAAAAAAAACCAACAAAACTCAACCTAAACAAAAAGCTATTTCAAAGCAAAAGGAAAAAATCCTCAACATTGAAACAGAACATGGTTATAGTGGGAGAATTTGTTGGTTTCAAAAGAGAAGTCCAGGATGGCTGCTTTTCCTGCACAGTGCCAGTGACATGTTAAAACACACCTATGGCTGGTAGTCATTTTGAGAGAATTTTGAGAGAAATAATATTCCATGTCACAAAAAGCCCTGAAGTTGTTTTTACAAATGAATCATTTAAGGTATGCAGGGATAAATACTTAATTTAAGAACTTGATTAGATCTGTCTCCATTTCACAAATCATTTATGCATGTGCTCGACTGAAGTCATAAGCAGAGCAGAGAACACCATATAACTTGAATTTGTGCTCTTCCTCAGGAAATTTCTCACCAAATCTTATGCAAGTGGATTTTAAAATGGGTCTACAAATACATACAAATAATGGTTTGTAGTCATAAGGAAAGTTACAAATGTAAAGGGCTCAACAGAAATGAATAGTGCTAAAGCCCAAAGCGTGTTGGATTAAATCACTACCAAAACTATACAGTGTACTCTCTTGTTGAGAATCCTGGAAATACGATGTATTTGCATCTCATTAACTTTTCTGGTATTATATTGTGTGTATGGATGACCTAGTCTGAGTTAACATTGCCTTGATGATGAGGATGAATATGCAGCCTGATCTTTGTGAGTAAGTGGTTGTGTTGTAGAATTGTTCTGCACTTTATTCCTGAGAGGTTTAGAAGTGATCTAGAAAAAATGGCCAATTAAAAAAATTAAGCACCCAGGAAAAATTACACAACTTGGGCAGCTACTGTGATTAATTCCACAGGTTGTCGCCTTCTCAGTCTGCTGTCTTGATAGTTAACAAACTCTTGCATCCTCTGACAAATAAGACCCTACTTACAGCTAACGTACAAGCTGTTCAGATTGTATTGTCTCTCTTACATCAAGCCACAACTCTCATAAGTCTCTGGTTTTGTTCTGTTTTCAGGTCTCAC